CTCAATGGGGCTGCGGCCGCCCATATGGTGACCACGGCCGCTGAATCCCTGTGTTTAAATGGGGGAGAAAGTTCGGGTTTTAAAACATTTCAAAGTGGTTGAAAGGGTCCCACCAGATCCTGTCACAATTCCCCCCGAGCTTTGAAGGCCGGGGCCATTGTTCGCCGATTATAAATGATATTACTTTAAAGTTGATTTCCCACAATATTTAAAGGATGTAGCGGGAGTGTCGCTATTTATTTTTGGCGTAACTTTTCAAGGGAATTAGCATAAGTAGCCCATGCGTCCCTCATCCCATCTCCCCCTTTATGCGACATCAAAACGCCTCGAAAAATATGCTTTGAAAGGCGAGGGAGAGCTAATTTAGGGACGACGACTTCTCTGCCTCGACAGAAACGTCCGTTTCTTTCGCCCCCGGCGGCCCGGGGTGCCTGCAGAGCCCCGCAAAGCCGGCCGGACCCGGGACGCGTCCTTGGCACCGCCCGACAGGAGAGCACAATGAAACTTTCCCCTGTTTAATGACAGAAATTACATTAAAAGTGGTGGAAATGCCCTAATTAAAAATGTACCGCTTAAATGATATGCCAAACGTTCAGCTGCAGAAGAGCGTATTTAGCTAGTTAGTGAACTCGCTACTATTTCTTTTAAAATTACATGTTAAAATTTTAAAAGAAATCTTACTTTTCTCTGGTGCAACACATTACAAAGAATGGACAGTCCTTTTATCTAAATATAAAATTCCATTTTCAGCAATTATAGCCTGTTCTTGGTGATGATATAATTACAGCTGTGCTCAGTAATAGGTGTCAAGGCAATGCACACTCATACAATAGTTGAATAAAACTGCAGAACAATGCAGGCACTTCTAAATTCACAACCTTTAAAATGAAATTGACTGTGCAGAATTCAAATAAAAACTGGATAAATATTTTTTAAAAAAGATTACAAGCTTGGTTTGGTTTCTTAATAGCATTTTCTGCAAACCTATCAACATCTAATTGATTAGATAGGAATTACTGATTATAGATAATCTGAAATACTGAACATCACTATTTTAAATATAGCAATAGGTAAATAAATGCAGCAGACAGAGGAGACTGCCATGGCACTTCAGCAGCGGTTCAGGGAAAGAATCACTTTCAGGGGAAGTATTTTTACGCGGTTTTTATTCCAGAGGAAAAACAAAATGAAATTAAGACCAGGCGATCGTAATTCCTCATCTCCGATGTTTACGATAACGCTGGAAACTGAAATGTTTCCGTGTTACCCGTGTCATTAGCGCAATGTTGCTTTGATACCCGAGACGTTTTTAAGGGAGGGTGTCAGCAAACATGGCCGAACTTGTTTCCAATCGCGTTATTTCTCTGATAGGGATCTTAAAACAAGGGTACCTGCGTTTCACTTTCCGACTCTCGGTTCTGCAGATGGCTGTCCGCAACAGGAGGGAGGAGGGGAAAACACTAACTCCATCAGCTCTAATGGAGAAGATTCAGACGAGGCCCAAATGAGACTCCAGCTGAAAAGAAAGCTGCAGAGAAATAGGACATCCTTCACCCAAGAGCAAATCGAAGCCCTTGAGAAAGGTGAGTGACATTTTCCTACGGCTGAATCAGGAGAAAAAAGCAAAATGTGCCCTGCCTGTATTAAGAGCTGAACGGAAACATGGCATTCACGTGCCTTATATATATGTATATAGTATAAGTCCGTGGCTCCCTCCATGCTCTTTTATTCATTGAGCTCCAAATATTCATCGATGGCTGCGGTATGCACCGAAAAGCTGTTAAAAGGTTTTCAAAGGGAACGCACTCAGGGCACAGATCATACCGAAACATTGGTGTTACACCCCGGGCTCCTCTCATGGGGGATAAATCTCCTCCTGCCAACTGTGCCACGTCCCCGGCCGGGCCGCATTGCCGTACACCAGGAAGGCGAGGGCTGGCAGCTGGGGCTGGCAGCAGCCCTCCGTGCCTGCCCCCCACGCTCGCTCCCCATCCCCAGCGCTGCTGCTGCCCGGGGCTGGGAGCAGGTGCCCTTTTCCCTGACTGGCCTGGGCGCACCTCACCTCTGACCCGCTGCGGATCTTTGTTCTTATTTTCCGCTGTTATTTAGCGACGTGCCATTTTGCTTCTTGGTGACAGGGTCAGAGCTGCCTTGGGGACCCCCTCAGCAGAGGCAGAAGCCCTCACTGCTTCTTGAAAGATGCAGCATTGCACCCAAGCCTGCCTATCCCCTTAGCGATATTCCCCAGCAGGCAAGGCGTCCTCCTTCCTAACACACACACACACACACACACGAAGAAAGCTCAGCTTTGCCTTTACAGCGATGTTTCTTAAGAGCATTCAGAGCATAGGCAGTGCAGGAACGACTCTGACTTTACAGTCAGCCACGTTAACTCTTTGCAACTAATGCAATAATATTTCCTTCTGCAGAATTTGAGAGGACCCACTATCCCGATGTGTTTGCAAGAGAGAGACTAGCTGCTAAAATAGACCTGCCTGAAGCAAGGATACAGGTACTGAGTTGCTGTGCAATTATGACTATTATTATTTTTACTACTACTATTCTAATTTTGTTATTCCTGGCTTCTCAAAGCACAGGGCAGCCCCTATTTACGAGTGGGTATTTGTCCATCTCCTCCTTCAGGAAAATAACAGCAGCTGGGGTTTGCTTTCACACGCTGCTTTGCTATGCTCCAAGCCAGCTTTCTATCAGCATGGCCTTGAGTTACGTGGGGGAGGCCCCACACCTCTAGTCCTTGTAAGGAGACTCATGTCTCTCAAACGCTGTATTTTCAGGTGTGGTTTTCTAACAGAAGGGCCAAGTGGAGAAGGGAAGAGAAGCTGAGGAACCAGCGAAGACAAGCCAGCAACACTCCCAGCCACATTCCCATCAGTAGTAGTTTCAGCACAAGCGTTTACCAGCCGATCCCACAACCGACCACCCCCGGTAATGCCACCGACCTGCTCATGTTCATCCATCCTCTTGGGAAAATGAGACTCTGAGACTGTATCGCCAATTGTAATTGTGGTTAAACTAATGTGTTCATCTATCTGTCTATTCTATTATAGTTTCCTCTTTCACATCAGGTTCCATGTTGGGCAGAACGGACACGGCGCTCACAAACACGTACAGTGCGCTGCCGCCCATGCCTAGCTTCACCATGGCCAATAACCTGCCTATGCAAGTAAGTCCAGCGCTGCCACCACGGCATGATGCTCCCTCGGGACTCGGTGGCCCCTGGGGTGTGTGGGAGCGTGGGGGCTCTTCCTCCCCAGGACAGGGGGTTATGGAGTCAAACCACACTGCAGGGAAACTGGGACCAAAAGCTTCCCCGGCCTCTGGAACGATGCCCTATTTTGGGAGAATCACAAGGGAAAGGGCACTGTAAGTCCTGGTGCTCTGACAAGCCCTTTTCCCAAATTTTAAAAGACAAAGGTCCTCAAAATTACAAGGTAATAAATCTGGGCTGAAAAAACCCTTTTTGGAAAAAAAAAAACCCAACTAAACCCCTGCAGTTAACCTATGGAACTCACTGGTGCAGTATTGTGGAAATTGCCACCCAAATAAGCTGCTGGAGGCATCCAACCTTCTCGGCGTAGATAACGTGGCGGTGGCACATTAGGAACACCTGAGAAAGGGAAGGATGTGATTAGCATCAGTGGTTATGCCAGCTAAGCCAGAATTGCAAGAGCTGTCAATCCTCATGCCTGAAAGCATTAGCTGATCACCAGCTGGGTTAGGAAGAAATCTATTCCTTTGGGGTCTGTTTCTATAGACCTTTCAGATGCAAAATTCCTCCTTTTTTAATGATGGGGTTGGCCTAGGAAGGTGCTGGCCAATTACGGGAGTTTTACAGCTTTGTCTGAGGCACACAGCATTGACCACTGCTGGAGACAGGCGAGCAGATTAGAGAGCCTGACTCCTTCGCTGCGGCAATTACTATGTTACTAATTGCTGAACCAAAATTAACCAAATAAAGTTAGAGTCTCGCAAGTCCGCGGAAAGAAATGACGATGGCTAGGTCGCTATTTCGTGACGTTGGAGGCCGGCGGCGCCGTTCCCGGCAGCAGGCTGAGAGCAGATGACAAAAGATCAAAAGGCTGATACGGGAGGGGACCCTTGGGAAAGCAGGAGGCCCCTGATTCACCGCCGGGCACCTGGGCAGGGACCTGGCATGTGTGAGCCGCTCTGGAAAGTCCTGCCTACATGGCCACCATGGTGTGATGGCCACGCGATGTCGGAGCGGGAGATTTGGCAGCTGAACCGTCGGCATCTCCCTGCAGACGCGGGGTGTGTTGCTGGTTCTCCTGGAGCACAGCGTGTGTGCTTAGCAAGCGAGGCTGTCAGTATTTTCGGAGGCGGCGTGTGTCGTGAAGCTCATTTTTGCTTGTGTACGCTGCTCCTGAGGGCTGGCACATCCATCCAGAGAAGCGTAACGTGGTGTTTACCTCGGCTGATACTTAACGCTGTTTTGTCCTTTGCTCCCATAGCCCCCGGTACCCAGCCAGACCTCCTCCTACTCTTGCATGCTGCCCACCAGTCCATCGGTGAATGGACGGAGCTATGATACATACACCCCTCCTCACATGCAGACACACATGAACAGCCAGCCGATGGGCACCTCTGGCACCACTTCCACAGGTGAGTGGCCCCCCCGCCTTTTTGCCAGCGCGGCTTCCTTGCTCCGGCCATCCGTTTTTTCACATGTATTCACTGGGAGAGGTGTCTCTGTCGGGTTTAGTAGCTGCCGAACCGGGCAGAAGACAAAAGTGTATAACCTTGTGGGCTAGAGCAGAAAACCTGATTTTTAAGCTGCCACTGAAGGGGTAGATGAAAGATGGCTGACTAACAGAGGTGGCATTTGAATAGCGGTACAGTGGAAAGCTCTTCAGTGAGGCCCTCATCCCGCAAAATCTTCCCTGTATAATTAAATTCTGAAGCAGCATTTATTTCAACGTTAGATTTCAGTGAAGCTACTCACACCCGAGCGTGTTTTTACCGTGCCTGTGTCAGAGGCTATTTTTTGCTAAAGATTTGAAGTTATCAGAAAGGCAGGTAACCCGTAGAAATATTAACCTATGCATAAGAGGGCAAAATAGGGTAAAAAAGGGTAAGTGTCAGCATAAGCAGGAGCAAGCCAGACACATTTAAAAAGAATAGAAATGTTCAGTGTATTTTGGGCGGAATTCCCAATTGATACAAATGAGCCGAGGCTCTGGCATTTATCTCAAAGCATGACAGTTTATTTATAACAACAAATCAGCGAGATGTGCATAGGTTTTTGAAATATACCCCCCCACACCTGATTCTGCAGGCTGGTAGATGGTGAGATTTAATACTTACCAGAATACAAGCACAAATCTGTGAAACTGTAAAGCAAATATTGTGCTATGTATAGAAAAACTAAAATATCCATTTCCTCCCTCAATTTTCAGGTCTCATTTCCCCTGGAGTGTCAGTTCCAGTTCAAGTTCCTGGCAGTGAACCTGATATGTCTCAATACTGGCCCAGATTACAGTAAAACATGTGTTAATTCCGTAAATGACTATATGGACAACAGTTGGATGTTCAGCAGTATTTTATAAAGGAAGAATGGCTCTCGGAGTACTTCTGTACTGCAACTGTGCCCTATGCTGTAACACATGGAAAAGACTTTCACATGGACCTTTGTACACTGAAGGCATTGTATCAGTTGGAACAAATCTTCATTTTGGTATCCAAACTTTTATTCATTTTGGTGTATTATTTGTAAATGGGCATTTGTATGTTATAATGAAAAAAAAAAAAGAACAATGTAGACTGGATGGATGTTTGATCTGTGTTGGTCATGAAGTTGTTTTAAAAAAAAAAAAAGAAAAGGAAAAAAAAAAGAAGCCATGATCAACAAGCTTTGCCACGAATTTAAGAGTTTTATCAAGATATATCGAATACTTCTACCAATCTGTTCATAGATTATGGATTGACGTTCCAAGTTTGTATCATTCCATTGCTTATAATTAAACCTGGAACAATACGCACTAGATTTATGTAAGAAAAATATCTGTTGGTATTTCCAAAGGTTGTTAACGGCTGAAGCTATGTGCAAACAGGGGTTAAGAGAGAACTTCGATGAAGAAAAGAGTTTGATAGATAAAAGGTAGATTGTGTCTTCGATATAATCCAATTTGTTTTATGTCAAAATGTAAGTATTTGTCTTCCCTAGAAATCTCCCAGAATGATTTCTATAATAAAGTTAATTTCATTTATATTTGACAAGAATATTCTATAGATGTTTTATACACATTTTCATGCATCATACGTTTCTTTTTGGTCGGCAAGAGTTAATTGTTCTTAGATATAGTTGTACTACTGTTCACAGTCCAATCATTTTTGTGCATCTAGAATTCATTCCTAATCAATTAAAAGTGCTTGCAAGAGTTTTAAACTTAAGTGTTTTGAAGTTGTTCACAACTACATATCAAAATTAACCATTGTTGATTGTAAAAACCATGCCAAAGCCTTTGTATTTCCTTTATTATACTATTTTCTTTTTAACCTTATAGTGTGGTGTTGCAAATTTTGTTACTGTGTTAGGTTAATTTCATTAAGTTTTATTTTGAATTTATTTTCAGTTTTCAATAAGGAGGGATCCTTAAAAAACATTTTTATAGGCTTTCAGCACTTCCACCAGCCTGTAATTTGGGCTAACAAAAAGAAGATAGGTTCACGTACCTAATTGCAGCTGAGAGCAGAAGGAGGTTGTTTATTTAGCTCGGGTTTCTGGGGATGCTCTAAATGAACTCCAGAATCCAGCAGAATTTCTAGTGGGGAGTTTGCATCGTGCCAGTCAGTGGTGGAGACGTGATACATGCCTGTGTCTATCTGTTGTAATTATACATAAAGTACATATAGACACATATACACACAAATATGCATTCCTGACTTCTAAAAATTGTTTTTGTTAGGACGCTTAAAAAGAAAAAAAAAAACAACCCAGCTGTGTTTTTAACAGGCTCTTTGGGAGAGTGAATACCATCCCTTTATATTGCCACACAGCACAATCTTAGTGTAATTTTCCATTGAACTTGTAACCTGGTTAATACCTCAATGCGCTTTGTGTGAGGGTTGTTAGTGTGGGCGTGGGTGGAGAGCTGCATGTCAAGGAATAATGAGAGAAGACAAATCAACAGGCAACAACAATGCGAGCTGGGACTGGCTAGTGAAAGCTAAAGGCCTTTAGTCACTGGCAGGGAAATCTAAACATTCCCATATCTATGAAGCTGGCTCATTGTGGTGCAGTTGTTACTTGCGATGCTGTGCTGAAAAAGGGATCTCATGATTAAAAAGCCAATGCGCAGGGAGTTTTGAGTCAAAGCACAGGCATCACAAGCAGCCTTTGTAAAGCAAAGATACTATCTAGGCTGGTTATGTTTTCCTTTCGGCATATTTGTCACTGCAGATAACACTTCACTGCAAGCGTGGAGTAGCAGAGTTGTGGTGCTGAGGTAGTCGCGATACTGCAGACGAGATTAAACGCACGTAAACTCCGAATCCCTTAGGGACAAAGAGCAGCTTCGCTCAAAGCACGAGACGATAGTTAATTACAATCAAGAGTCCAAAGCAAGCAAAAATGTGCAAAAACATTAGATGAAAAATCTTTTTTTTTAACTGATACTGGTCAGTTGTAAGTATATTCGTTATACCAGCATTAAGTAGTTTTAATTACATGGAAGTCATCCATTGGCAAATATTAATGAAACATGGATTTTTTTAATTTATATATATTTTTATCAGACATGCACATGCACATTATATATTTATAAGATACAGATAGATCGCATTAAACACCATAATAGGCAGGTCCCTTCTCGCATAGCTAAATCGATTCTGGGAACAATTAATTACAGGTACAAACCCAGCATTTATATAGCCACTTAGCGTGTTTATACCTACTAATGTAGTTTGTTATCTAAATGCCAACTTCTGCTCAACCAGGAATGGAAATCAGCTTCCCATCCCTTCCTCCCCCGAGAGCTTTTGTGCCGTGGTTGCTGTTTCTGCAGGTGCCGATATGCGGGCAGAGGCAGCTCCCCGTAGCTCTTCCCTGCCCTTGTCGGGTTTTCCCGGCCTTGCAGCTCCACCGCCTGTGGTCCAGCCGCTGGTGGCCTCCATTGAGCCATCGCCAGCCCTCTTGCCCCTTCTGAAGCCTTCTTCAGGACAGGCTGTGCTGCGGGGCTGCAGCCTTTCACAGCCCCGCACCTCTGCAGTCGCAGCAATGCTATAAAGCAGTTGCGTGCGCGGATGAACCTTGAGCTTGCTTTGGTGACAGGCTAGCTAGCCGTGGTGGAGAGGAGACATTTCTGGCTCACTGGCTCGTTATTGTGCCCTGTGGAAGGAGGTCGGTGGGGAAAAGTCCCTGGCTGGCTGCACATCGGGAAGAAGTTAGGGCATTTGGTCCCCAGAGCGTTGCTTGCCTTGAAGAGCTGCTGCTGTGTGTGCTGGGGGCTCTGCGGGTTACAGGCAGCCTTGCACTGCACGTCGCATCCACAGCCCTATCAAGAGGCTTTTCCCCAGGGTGGGTCAGGGCACGGGGCCGAGCGTGCAGGGGCTCCCATGCCTGAGCACCGGTGCCAGCTTCCAGTTGCTCGCTGGGGGCCAGGCGAGGCCCTGGAGCAGCTCCAGCGCCCAACTGGCCTCAGAGCGCTGCTGCAAATGGGCGAGGGGGTTGCGTGTGGCTGCATGGGGAACGTGCTGCCTCGCCAGACACCGCTACCAGCCACATAAGTGGGAAATGAAAATCTTCAGCATGCTCTGAACCCTCTAATACCCATTTTCATCCCCTTTCTTCTTCCAGAGCTGTATTACTTACAAAGACTGAAGTCTGCTCTAATGTATTGCTCAGTGTAACACAGCAATTTCCAAGGTTCTCCTCTTTTTACCACTGAAATTAGTGGGAGTTTTGCTATTGATTTCAATAGGAATGAGACATTTCTGTGCATTTGGTTAAAATGTATTTCATAATAACACCTTATACTTTATTTATAAGCCCCTCCTAAGGCATTTCACAAATTATAGTCACACAAGAATTGATGTGTGAGTGCTGTCTTAATAACACTGTATTTTGTATTTCAAATATTGTGTTCTAGATACAATATTTACATTTACAAGTGAAAAGGCTGCTAACCTAACAGTTATTGTTCAGAGCAGACAGATGATGAGTCACACACGCTGATGGCGAAGCAGACATGCATGCGGTGACATACGTGTTGGAATTGCCTTGCACCGTGCAGATACCGGTTTTAATTGTTTTTAAAAGGTAAGCACGAGTCAGCGTGTGCCCTGCTCCAGGAGGCAGAAAGAGCTGCTTTCTCACCCAGGCTGTAACACAGAAAGGGGATTTCACCACTTCTTTTTAGCTAGGTTTTTATGTATAAAGTGAGCAATATGCCAACGTAGGCTGGTTTACTTTAGGCAGCCTATCATGGGATTTATCTTTGGGGGCAAAATTACAGTTGCAAAGAACAACCTGGGACTGATAACACACATTGCCTCCCCCAGGCTTTCCGGCCATTGGTAGTCCTATTTCATTCACTTTCCATGGCCAAAGGTGTCTGGCTTTTTTGGTTTTTAATTGATTTTTCTGGTATTAATGACTAAAAGATATGATCTAATTTTCTCTGGGTAATATGTGCAGGTTTAGAGTTATGCTAAGGTTTAAATTTGTTCTGCATTTCCATGGTATAAACAGCACTAGGAAAACTGAAAATTTATCATTCTTTTTTCTTTTTTTTTTTCAGTTCGTTTCCATTTGCTCTTGTCCTCAGCTTCAGCAGTTGAGCATTGCTCCATGTGCAGTTGATAAGGCTCTTCTGCTCTGGGAATGGTGTAGCATCTTCTTTTTAAATAACTCTTCTTTGACAAGACACCTGCTTGCTTAATGAGCTCCTGCAGCCCTCTTTCTAATCAAAAGTGTGATTGGCACCTACAAATACCCAAATACAACCCCCCCCATTAGAAATAGTCATATGAATTACAGATGTGAGAGTAGAGTCTGTGGTGGCTGTTTGGTCTTGTTCAGACAGCGAGTATTTACGTGTCTTGCTGCGGAGAGAAGGCAGCCACAGGAGTGTGCCTCTGGCTGAAGTGTGCAGGGACCCCTGAAGCCCCTGCCCTGCACGGCATGGTAGAAGCAGAAGAAATGCTCCTCCTCTTTGGGTGGAAAACAAAGCATGGAATATATCTCCCCTGGATTACTGCTGGAGAATGATGTTAGGCAAGCCTCTCACATACGTTATCTGTTTAGTAGTTCTTAGAGAAAACAGCAGAGGATGGAGCAATCCGCATGAGATGCGTGGTAGTAAAGATAGTACAGTTTGGACAGGAGCCAGGTTGGCAAGTTCCTTGCTTTAGAATATATTTTAAATTAATTCCTCCCCTAATATTCTCTTAGATGTAAAGAAAGAAAACCCCAATGGATCAGCAGACAATTACTTAGGGTAGCTTACTCAGGATAGTTTACTATTCTAAGATAGTTTGCAATAGCGATCGTGTGGAAGACAAAGGTGTTTTCATAGGGGCTGCAGAAATGAAACCTCAAAGAAATGAAACCATTTGATCAGTCTTTTAACATGTACAGCTGATGTGTGACAGATTTTCATGAAACCTCCAGCTGCCAGAATCCCTGTTTCTTTTGAAGATGGCCCTTTAGAGAAAAGTCCCCATGAAACCTGCTTTCCCTTAAGTTTCACTGAGAACCTCCAATGATTATGTTTTAACACACTGAGAATTTCAGGGCCTTCCGTACTGTTCCTTTCCTCCCCCTAGGTAATATCCCACCAGGTAATATCCCTGGTGAGACGA